TAATGACCATTGTTATGTTTGGAGGAAAAAGGGGGACGCTTGCAAGTCGAAGAACACCATCCCAAACGTGAAGCACGGGGGTGGCAGCATCATGCTGTGGGGGTGCTTTGCTGCAGGAGGGACTGGTGTACTTCACAAAATAGATGGCATCATGAGGAAGGAAAATTATGTGAATATATTGAAGCAACATCTCAAGACATCAGTCAGGAAGTTAAAGCTTGGTCGCAAATGGGTCTTCCAAATGGACAATGACCCCAAGCATACTTCCAAAGTTGTGGCAAAATGGCTTAAGGACAACAAAGTCAAGGTATTGGAGTGGCCATCACAAAGCCCTGACCTCAATCCTATAGAAAATGTGTGGGCAGAACTGAAAAAGCGTGTGCGAGCAAGGAGGCCTCCAAACCTGACTCAGTTACACCAGCTCTGTCAGGAGGAATGGGCCAAAATTCACCCAATTTATTGTAGGAAGCTTGTGGGAGGCTACCCGAAAAGTTTGACCCAAGTTAAAAATGTAAAGGCAATGCTACCAAATACTAATTGAGTGTATGTAAACTTCTGACCCACTGGGAATGTGATGACATAAATAAAATATGAAATAAATAATTCTCTCTACAATTATTCTGACATTTCACATTCTTAAAATAAAGTGGTAATCCTAACTGACCTAAAACAGGGAATTTTTACCAGGATTAAATGTCAGGAATTGTGAAAAACTGAGTTTAAATGTATTTGGCCCTCCTGTAGCTCAGTTGGTAGAGCATGGCGCTTGCAACGCAAGGGTTGTGGGTTCGTTTCCCACGGGGGGCCAGAATGAAAAATGTATGCACTCACTAATTGTAAATCGCTCTGGATAAGAGCGTCTGCTAAAAAAACAAAAAAATGTAACTTCCAACTTCAACTGTATATGCAGGCCTCAACCACTACCCTGAGAGCACTTGATTCAGTACATCATGCGGCCCTCAGGTTCATTACCAATCAAAACGATCATTGTGATCTCTACAGCGTCGTTGGCTGGTCGTCATTGACCTTGCGTAAGCTTAAACACTGGTATACACTTATTTATAAGGCCATATTGGGTAAAATGGCACTTTATCTCTGTTATTTTTTAATCAGGTCAGTAAATAAATATAAATTACGGTCCCATTCTCATTTGCTTTCAACAGTACCAAGAATTAGAACAGGTCATGATAGAAATAGAACTGGAAAAGTGGAAAGGTGGCTGTACTTCGCTCCGCAGGCCATACAAACGCTTCACACCGCGTGGCTGCTGCCACTCTAATCTGGTGGTCCCTGCGCGCACGACCCACGTGGAGTTCCAGGTCTCCGGCAGCCTCTGGAACTGCCGTTCTGCGGCCAACAAGGCAGAGTTCATCTCAGCCTATGCTACCCTCCAGTCCCTCGACTTCTTGGCGCTGACGGAAACATGGATTACATTTACATTTACATTTTAGTCATTTAGCAGACGCTCTTATCCAGAGCGACTTACAGTTAGCGAATACATTTTTTTTAATATGCTGGCCCCTCGTGGGAATCGAACCCACAACCCTAGCGTTGCAAACGCCATGCTCTACCAACTGAGCTACATCCCTGCCGGCCATTCCCTCCCCTACTCTGGACGACGCTGGGCCAATTGTGCGCCGCCCATTACCACAGAAAACACTGCTACTCCTACTGCTCTTTCCTCATCTGATCATGTGTTCTCGCATACCCCGAGAGCATCTGGCACAGGAATCCTCATCTCTCCCAAGTGGACGTTCTCTCTTTTCCCCCTGACCCATCTGTCTATCTCCTCATTTGAATTCTATGCTGTCACAGTCACTAGCCCATTCAAGCTTAACATCCTGATCATTTATCGCCCTCCAGGTTCCCTTGGAGAGTTCATCAATGAGCTTGACGCCTTGATAAGTTCCTTTCCTGAGGATGGCTCACCCCTCACAGTTCTGGACCATTTCCGGAGACCTACTCCCTTACCTCACCTCGCTCATCAACTCATCCTTGACCGCTGGCTATGTCCCTTCCGTCTTCAAGAGAGCGAGAGTTGCACCCCTCCTCAAAAAACCTACACTCGATCCCTCCGATGTCAACAACTACAGACCAGTATCCCTTCTTTCTTTTCTCTCCAAAACTATTGAGTGTGCCATCTATAGTCAACTCTCCTGCTATCTCTCTCAGAATGACCTTCTTGATCCAAACCAGTCAGGTTTCAAGACTGTTCATTCAACTGAGACTGCTCTTCTCTGTGTCACGGAGGCTCTCCGCACTGCTAAAGCTAACTCTCTCTCCTCTGCTCTTATCCTTCTAGACCTATCTGCTGCCTTTGATACTGTGAACCATCAGATCCTCCTCTCCACCCTCTCCGAGTTGGGCATCTCCGGCGCTGCTCACTCTTGGATTGCGTCCTACCTGACAGGTCGCTCCTACCAGGTGGCATGGTGAGAATCTGTCTCTGCACCACGTGCTCTCACCACTGGTGTCCCCCAGGGCTCAGTTCTAGGCCCTCTCCTATTCTCTCTATACACCAAGTCTCTTGGCTCTGTCATATCCTCACATGGTCTCTCATATCATTGCTACGCAGATGACACACAATTCATTTTCTCCTTTCACCCTTCTGATAACCAGGTGGCGAATCGCATCTCTGCATGTCTGGCAGACATATCAGTGTGGATGTCGGATCACCACCTCAAGCTGAACCTCGGCAAGACGGAGCTGCTCTTCCTCCCGGGAAAGGACTGCCCGCTCCATGATCTCGCCATCACAGTTGACAACTCCATTGTGTCCTCCTCCCAGAGTGCAAAGAACCTTGGTGTGACCCTGGACAACCCCCTGTCATTCTCCGCTAACATCAAAGCGGTGACCCGATCCTGCAGGTTCATGCTCTACAACATTCGCAGAGTACGACCCTACCTTACACAGAAAGTGGCACAGGTCCTAATCCAGGCACTTGTCATCTCCTGTCTGGATTACTGCAACTCACTGTTGGCTGGGCTCCCTGCCTGTGCCATTAAACCCCTACAACTTATCCAGAACGCTGCAGCCCGTCTGGTGTTCAACCTTCCCAAGTTCTCTCATGTCACCCCGCTCTTCCGCACACTCCACTGGCTTCCGGTTTAAGCTCACATCTACTACAAAACCATGGTGCTTGCCTACAGAGCTGTGAGGGGAACGGCACCTCCTTACCTTCAGGCTCTAATCAGACCCTAAACCCAAACGAGGGCACTATGTTCATCCACCTCTGGCCTGCTAGCCCCCCTACCTCTACGGAAGCACAGTTCCCGCTCAGCCCATTCGCTGCTCTGGCACCCCAATGGTGGAAACAAGCTCCCCCACGACACCAGGACAGCGGAGTCACTGACCACCTTCCGGAGACACTTGAAACCCTACCTCTTTAAGGAATACCTGTAATAGTCTAACAGTCATCCTTCTACACCCCCCCTCCCCCAGTGGTGGTTGTCCCATTGGCTATCCTAAGTTGAATGCACCAATTTGTAAGTCGCTCTGGATAAGAACGTCTGCTAAATGACTTAAATGTTAACTGTAAATAGTTTTAGGTACTCAGCTCAGTGGTCCTGGAATTCTCTCCTGAACATTTTAAAATGTTATGATCTAGTCACGTTGGTGGAGTTTAAACACTTGGTCGATGTAAATATCATAGAAGAGTGTAATTGTCTTCAGGACAGTTTTTTTGTTATGACATTTGTGTTTCTTTACGTAATATGTAATTGTTGTACTGCATGTGTGTCTACAGTTTTGTTCAATGTTGTGTTAGTGTATGTAAGTTGTTTTGTCTGAAACTTTGTGCCCACTGCTGCTGTTGGACCAGGTCTCTCTTGAAAAATAGATTTTATCTCAATGTATAAATAAAGGTAAAACAATTATTTACAAAAATCACTCCAGTATCCCTGCACATTGTAAATATGGTATTGGAACTGACCCGTGTATAGCCTACTTACTTATCTTGTTCTTCTTATTTCTATTTCTCCTGTGATTTTGTTCTACCTTCTGTTATCTTTAGTACTACATTGATATTGATTACTGCATGGTTGGGTTTAGCGCTATCAAGAAAGGCATTTCAAATCAAATCAAATCAAATCAAATTGTATTTGTCACATGCGCCCTCAACCAACAATGCAGTTACGTCACATTAAAACGTTTAACTTGAAACTACTGTTTTCCCCCCAATTTTTTTCTCTATCATGGTCACTACAGGAGTTCAGGAGAACTTCAAGTTCTGAGTAATATCAAATAATAATTTTGACTACAAATCCCAAATGAACCATTTTGAGATATCCCCGCCCATTTTCGTATAATATTGAATCGCCCCAATCACCGTATAGATATTCATGATCAACATGGAGTTTTGACCAACCAGAAATCTACCTCAGTGTTTTCTAAGTTTCCGGGAAGAGAGAATAACCGAAATTACCTCCCACATGTGAGCCCCGATCACACCAGGCGAAGCCTGTGTAGTGTAGTAGAGAGGAACCGGCACGAGAGGGAAGTGGGCAACGTAATTTCACCGACGACCGAACTAGAGCGGAAGCTGTAGCGCAGAAACCGGAGTGGCGTTGCCCGAGGCAGGTACGGTATCGTCCTCGTTTTTGTAAATGAAAGGGTTTGGAACCGGTTGACATTTGGAGGTTTTAACGTTTCTTCGAGGAAGAGAGTTGAAACTATGTCGGGTTGCGACGTTAGACAATGAATAGGGTGGACACTAGGGCCTGGGAAGAGTGCGTAGGCCTAGTTTTTCCGCGCACTTTACTGACACAGAAGCGGTGTAGAGTCTTTCCTCCCGGTCGGTCCACCAGTGTGGTCAGGTCCCTCTCGGACACCCGTTTCTAGGTCAGAGAGGTAGCCACACAACTGTCACCCTGGCAACCTAAAATCCGGTCATTGGACCTTTATGAAGTTAGCTAAATCTATCGTTTGTGTTCGTGGCCGATGCAACGTTAGCTAGCTGATGTTCTTCTCTTTCAGGTGCTGAAGCAATTACAGCAGGAAAGATGGCGGACGACCCAAACGCAGCGGACAGGAACGTGGAGATATGGAAAATCAAGAAGTTGATTAAAAGTTTGGAAGCTGCCCGTGGGTAAGTGTTTGAAATGGGCACAAGATACAGGACGTCTCACTGGGTGTCGGAGGGGTGGTGGGAGACGGAGATATGCAGACATGAATGGACAGCTGGATGAGCGAGGCCGAATTTTGGGAGTGGTCCTAGCTAGCCAGTTAGCGTGCTATTAACACAGTCAACATTGTAAATAACGTTAGTTCCTACCAATATTCGATTTTGATCGTATAATTAGTATGATGCCATTCATGTTATTTGTAGCTAGCTCTGTTACTTGTTATGTGTGTTGATGTCCGGGTTAGTTAGCTAGTTAGCTACATGTTGTTAGCTGAAAATGCCGGCTTCTGTGGATGAGGTCTTTAAAACAGTGGGGTTGTTTGTATATCACACTGACGCCTAGGTGCTTGTAGTAACGCGGGTTTACAGTATACACTAGTGTTGTTTTCAATTGTATTGGGTTGCACAAAAACAGTCCGTGGGAAGCCAGAAGTTACGTGCAATTCAATTTCAACTTAGCTACTAACTTACTGTGGCAGTGGGCAGGACGGTTGGTCGTTATGACGGGGGGAGTTTGAGACAAAATCGTATTATTAAACAGACTTTCCAAACGTGGGTCTGTTGTAGACCCACTTCCTCTGCTTACATCATGTCAAAAATAAGTCCCCCACAAGCTATTTCTTTTTTGGCCACATATGGTGCCGCTGGCACAGTAAGTTGAAATGCAATTGTATTTAACTTAGCTTCCCATGGACTGTTTTCTTTGTGCAACCCAGTACAATTGCCGCGTTGCTAAAAGCACCTAGCTGACACCAGTATGTTCCCATATGCTGCGATAGATAAAGCAGTTGATAGCTATGTTGGCTTGCTTTCAAGACACAGCATTGAACATGTCTTGTATTTGGGAGTGGAAGGCTTAAAGCTACAGTATGTTTGAGTAGCAAGCAGCAGGCACTCAACTGCCATTTCCTATTCCTTTGGTGACAATGTGTGTAGTTAGCTAGCGGTCATCCATATTCATTTAGATAAGTAGTTCACAGAGCTAGTTCCGTGGCTTACTCGGCAGTGTGATTAGGCAAATGGGACCGCTTTGCCCCCGAAGTGTTCTTGTTGTCCACTGGCACAGAATCCTCTGCTACATACACATACGGTTGACAATTTGGCCTATATTCACAAACCAGCTACCTGTGGGTATACAGCATCAACGTGTATGGCTCGCCAGTTTGCCTTTGACTGGTAGTGAATGTGGCTCAGTGGGAGTTTAGCACAGTCCTTGGTGTCAAGGACATAACTTGTTGTTCTGTATGGGAACTGTGTGCCCCTCCCCTTTCAGACAGTGGAATCTAGGAAGGTAGTGTTTGGTGACCAGTGGCGTCAACTGTTATAAAGTTGAGGTGTGTGTTACACAAGGGTAGATATGGGTCAGGTAATATTAGAGAATGATTGGAGGGGCTGATGGGTGGAAGATTTGTTTTGATTGTGGAAGCATATTCATTCCTTTCAGAGATTGATATGAAATGCCCAGATCTATGCTGTACTAAGACAGTGTTATTTACACAACCGTGAATATGTGTGTTTATGTAACTATCTGTCCCTCTCTCCTCAGTAATGGAACCAGTATGATCTCGCTGATCATTCCCCCTAAGGACCAGATCTCCAGAGTGGCCAAGATGTTGGCTGATGAGTTTGGGACAGCCTCCAACATCAAGAGCAGAGTCAACAGGCTCTCTGTGCTAGGGGCCATTACCTCTGTACAGCAGAGACTAAAGCTATACAACAAGGGTGAGTGATTTGTGTGCAAATGGAACTGTGTCGTCGTGTGTCTGTACTAGGAGCCTTGACCTCCTCATAGTGGACTCCAAAGCTACAGCAAGGATGTCTCTTTTTCTTGTTAGTTGTGTATATTTCTTAAGGGTCACTGGGTCTTGCCTGTGTTGACTGGTAAGTCCTGTCTCTCTCCTGTAGTGCCCCCTAACGGCCTGGTGGTGTACTGTGGGACTATTGTGACAGACGAGGGCAAAGAGAAGAAAGTCAACATAGACTTTGAGCCTTTTAAACCCATCAACACCTCCCTGTACCTCTGTGACAACAAGTTCCACACTGAGGTAGGAGCTCTACATATGTACATTGCCTTCGGAAAGTATTCAGAGCCCTTGACTTTTTCCACATTTTGTTACGTTACAGCCTTATTCTAAAATTGATTAAATCGTTTTTTTCTCTCATCAATCTACACACAATAACGCATAATGACAAAGCAAAAACAGGTGTTTATAATTTTTTGCTAATTAATAAAATAAACTGATGACATTTACATAAGTATTCAGACCCTTTACTCAATACTTTGTTGAAGCACCTTTGGCAGCGATTACAGCTTAGTCTGCTTGGGTATGACGCTACAAGCTTGACACACCTGTTTTTCTCTGCAGATGCTCTCAATCTCTGTCAGGTTGGATGAGGAGCATCGCTGCACAGCTATTTTCAGGTCTCTCCAGAGATGTTCGATTGGGTTCAAGTCCGGGCTCTGGCTGGGCCACTCAAGGACATTCAGAGACTTGTCGAAGCCACTCCTGCGTTGTCTTTGCTGTGTGCTTAGGTTCGTTGTCCTGTTGGAAGGTGAACCTTCGCCCCAGTCTGAGGTCCTGAGCGCTCTGGAGCAGGTTTTCATCAAGGATCTCTCTGTACTTTGCTCCGTTCATCTTTCCCTCGATCCTGACTAGTCTCCCAGTCCCTGCCACTGGAAAAACATCCCCACAGCACGATGCTGCCACCACCACCATGCTTCACCGTAGGGATGGTGCCAGGTTTATTCCAGACGTGACGCTTGGCATTCAGGCCAAAGAGTTCAATCTTGGTTTCATCAGACCAGAGAATCTTGTTTCTCATGGTCTGAGAGCCTTTAGGTGCCTTTTGGCAAACTCCAAGTGGGCTGTCGTGTGCCTTTTACTGAAGAGTGGCTTCAGTAAAGCCATAAAGGCCTGATTGGTGGAGTGCTGCAGAGGTGGTTGTCCTTCTGGAAGGTTCTCCAATCTCCACAGAGGAACTCTGGAGCTCTGTCAGTGACTATTGGGTTCTTGGTCACCTCCCTGACCAAGGCCCTTCTCCCCCGATTGCTCAGTTTGGCCGGGCGGCCAGCTCTAGGCAGAGTCTTGGTGGTTCCAAACTTCTTCCATTTAAGAATGATGGAGGCCACTGTGTTCTTGGGGACCTTAAATGCTGAAGAAATGCCCAGATCTATGCCTCGACACAATCTTGTCTCTGAGCTCTACGGACAGTTCCTTCGACCTCATGGCTTGGTTTTTGCTCTGACATGCACTGTCAACTGTGGGACCTTTATATAGACAGGTGTGTCCAATCAATTGAATTTACCACAGGTGGACTCCAATCAAGTTGTAGAAACATCTCAAGGATGATCAATGGAAACAGGATGCACCTGAGCTCATGTTCGAGTCTCATAGCAAAGGGTCTGAATACTTATGTAAATTATTTATTTCTGTTTTTATTTTATTATAAATTTGCAAAAATGTCTAACACCCTGTTTTCGCTTTGTAATTATGGGGTATTGTCTGTAGATTGCTGAGGATAAAAAAAAATTTGTTTTAGAATAAGGCTGTAATGTAACAAAATGTGGAAAAATTCAAGGGGTCTGAATAATTTCCGAAGGCACTGTATGTCTCCGCTATGTGGGTGTTCAATGTCAATCAAATTGTAATGAAATTGCTGTCTGTCTTTCTTTCTCCCTCTCTACTCTCTCCCTCCTCCCTCTCTCCAGGCGTTGACGGCCCTGCTGTCTGATGACAGTAAGTTTGGTTTCATAGTGATAGATGGTAGTGGGGCTCTCTTTGGGACACTCCAGGGGAACACCAGAGAGGTGCTGCACAAGTTCACCGTGGACCTGCCCAAAAAACACGGTACGCTCCGCTCATTACGCACACACAGACGGACATAAGAACAAGAACATTCAAGATTTTAAATAAAAACAATTGATCAAAAAAAGGAAATGTATATTATCCCCCATCACTACTTTTTTTATCCATCTAATCTTCTCGCTCTCTCAGGCAGAGGAGGTCAGTCTGCTCTGCGGTTTGCCCGTCTGAGGATGGAGAAGAGACACAACTATGTAAGGAAGGTGGCTGAGACAGCTGTCCAGCTCTATGTGTCCAACGACAAGGTCAACGTGGCCGGAATGGTCCTAGCAGGTTCTGCCGACTTCAAGACTGAGCTCAGCCAGTCCGACATGTTTGACCCTGTAAGTGTGTGTGTTTGAGATTAGCCATGGTTGATGCTGCACCAATCCTTACTGTGATCAGTTAATCCTTTATCGGACTGACGCTTTTGGTGCAATTCCTCTCATGGATTTACTCATTCTTAGTGACAATGCATAGCACTGCACACTAACCCCTGGTTTGTGTGTGTGCGCAGAGGTTACAGGCGAAGATTCTGAAGCTGGTGGACATCTCGTACGGAGGAGAGAACGGCTTCAACCAGGCCATCGAGCTGTCGGCAGAGGTCCTCTCCAACGTCAAGTTCATCCAGGAAAAGAAGCTCATAGGTGTGTGTTTGTGGCACATGTTGAGGTTAGATTTTGGGTTATCCCAGCGAATGTGTGTCTGTGCCTGCGTTTGTTCGGGTTAGTGAAGATTGTGAATGGTAATGATGATGAGTGATGATTGCTACCCTATTTCCATCCCCCAATCACTCATTCTTCTTTTTTCTTTGACCCTTTATTCCTCTTCCCTCCCCCATTTTCTTTCTCTCTCTCTCTCTCTCTTTTCTCTTCTCTTCTCTCTCTCTCTCTCTCGCTGCAGGGCGGTACTTTGATGAGATCAGTCAGGACACAGGGAAGTACTGTTTCGGGGTGGAGGACACACTCAAAGCCCTAGAGATGGGAGCTGTGGAGATCCTCATCGTCTATGAGAACCTAGACACCATGCGCTACATCCTTCGCCTGCACGGGGCCGAGAGCATCGGAACAGAGAACGGTACAAACACTCCCCATGCGTTATACTCTGCTTCAACGGAGCAGAAAATGGTACACACACACTCCCCATGTGCAGTATGTCGTCTTTCTCCATGAAGTAGAACAACTGAGCAGAGAATGCTACATACACACTCACTTTTCATGCACTTTTTCTCATTCCCTGTCTCCATTGGCCTTGTGTTTCAGATGAGAAGACTCTGTATTTAACACCAGAGCAGGAGAAAGACAAGTCCCACTTCACAGACAAGGAGGTAAGCCCTGTTCTCTGTCCCTTGGTGTCATACACAGTTGCCTTGACAAAACGTTATTTTCCTGAACCCATTCGGGTGGTTCAATTTGTTGCTGACTTGTTAACATTTCTTTGCGCTCTCTAACTGTGTCCATTTGGTGTGTGTGCATGTTCAGACTGGGCAGGACCACGAGCTGATTGAGAGCATGCCTCTGCTGGAGTGGTTCGCCAACAACTACAAGAAGTTTGGAGCCACGCTGGAGATTGTCACAGACAAGAGTCAAGAGGGCTCCCAGTTTGTCAAAGGCTTTGGAGGCATTGGGGGTGAGTCCACACTTGTTGTTATAGGGTATTAACATAGGTGTCTCTGTTATGGTCATGTTGTGAAGGTAGTTCACAGCATGAGATCAAATTCATAAGCCTAACATTAGTAATGACACTTCAATCCAGCAGAAGTCTTTATCTGGATAATTGACTCTTTCTCTCTTTCTCAGGATGCTTGCGGTACAGGGTGGATTTCCAGGCCATAGATTACCAGGCAGAGGACGACGAGTTTTTCGATTTAGATGACTACTAGGTAGTAGGGGACTGAATTGGGGATGAAGAAGAAGAAGAAGAAAAAAAAAAAGCGAATGAATGAAGAAATAAGGAAAGTAAAATGACTTATCTTTTGCAGCAAGTGAGAGGGGGAGCCGAATCGACCATATAGACAGACATATACAGTACATTCAATTTTAAATGCATAGACATACACTTCCACTAACGCTCATACAGGCTGAAGAGGAGTGAGAATTTCTTTCAATCCATAGAGGGACAAAACCCTTCCTGAATGAATCCCTGCCTTAGAGTGCTGGTTCCTTCCCCTGGTTGGATTGGACTTGACTCAAATATTTTTGTTGGTATATTTTTCTCCCCTCCATTTTGAATGAACACAACAGCAAGTTCCCAGCAATCCTCACTCGTTGCCACCCCCCCTCCCCTTGGTCTGATGAAGACTTTGGACTCACTCCTCGCATATAGAAAATATATATTATTTCTTCCCCTCATCCTGTCCTCCCTCCTTCCCCCCTTCAATGCATTTTTTCTTTTGCATTTCATTTTTTTACTGGTTGCTGCTGTTGTATTTTATGAGAGTGGGGATTTTTTTTTTTTTTACCAGGGTTTCTGTAGAGAACGGGGGAAGGTATTAAATTTGAACTGCTCAAAACCATTGCTGCTACCTCATCCGCTGTCGTCTACAATCGTGTGGCATGGCTGGCCTTCCCAGAGGGGCTGGCTCTTCCTGCTTCCCCACCAATGAAAGGTTTCTTTGGCCAATAAGCACCAATGAGTGTGGCTGTAGAATGTCTGAATTGTTTCCTGCAATGATCATCATGGTGCATATATTTTATTTGGTGTGGAAAGTAAGGATGCTAAATTCTAATCCATGAGGACCTTAGAGGTAGTTTATCACTGCACTCAGACCACTGGTCAGGTTTTCAAAGTCTCAAATCAACTGCTGTCAAAAAGGTAAGAAGAAAGTGGAATTCAGGGGATAAACACATTCTACACTATTCGTCACAAATATGTGCAAATACATTTGCTCATCTTTGCCTAAAGATCCCTGTTCAAAGAGATGCATGCCTTGATGTCATTTTAGCCATTCTATATCAATTGTCAGTCTTTTCAAATGATCTGCTGCTTGTTTACTAGTGTCCACATACATTTACAGTGTTATATTAGAAGTACTGCAAACTATGTTTTGCTTGCTTGCTCATCATATTCATTTATGTACTATGTTAACATAAGACTCAAGTCATCTCTGAGACTTCTAGAAAGCGTATTGACATTTAGTTTTGATGTGTTTCTCAGAATGGCAACATCATCTTCAAACATTTGCCCTTCTGTTTGGGGAGTCACGGTGGAAAGCTTTGGTAGCACCACAAGCCAATCAATATGGGGCAAGCCAGTTAAGGTACGCCTCTAGCAGAACTCGGCCAGTCGAGAGTGTTTGATTCATGAGTGGGGGCCCCACCCCCACTAAACACAGCCCTACCAAGTTGTGGCTGGGCGAAGCGAATGACGTCTCTGCATTTGCAGGCCGGGGACGCAGTGTTTGGTTTCCATTTTCACAGCTGAGTTTCAGGGTGACTAACAACATGGAGCCGGAGATTGAGGACAAAACGTTGGAATTAATGGTAAGCTTTGGTGACATTGGCCCCCTAGGTCGCTATTGGGAACGAAAAGGAGCCGTAGAGGCTTGAATCGAAGGCCGAACGGGGTACCAACCCGGACCGACGGCCAGGAGAGGTGGAGGAAAAAGGAAAGGGAACTAGAAATAGAGGGAGGGCCTGAAATATTGATATTATTATTTGAGGGTCCTGGTGCAGCGACTGACTAAGTCGTCGAAACCTATTAGGCAAAGTGACAGGGTAGTCCCTTATTTTTGCAATATCCAAATTGAATCCGTAACCTCATGTAAAATAGTCGAAAGCTTTCTGCAAGTCGTACGCTGGAGAAAGCCACGGATTTCGGGGTAGCTTTTCACTGCGGTGACGCTGCGCCACTCGGACCTGTGCGTCATAGCTAGTTAGCTAGCTAACTGGATACAACGTACCAGACTAAGTTAGTTAGATATAGAAATGTATATTAAAGTCAGATAAACAGAATAAAATGTTGCTCACACCCTTCCATGTGAATGTCTAAATGTTCTTCTGGTGTGCGTGCGTGTTCATGTTTATAAAGCTGCGTAGAAGGAAGTGCACAACATTAACTCGTGAGGGGTATTTTCATTGCTAACGAGCTATTATGATAGCTAAGCAACAAATAGTTGGCCACCGTGATGCATCAATAATATAATTTACTTGATTTCGACTGACCTTGGTAACAAACTAACTATGTTGTACTTGGTTTTTCCATATTTCCATTGTTCAATTTACTACGGTAATGTTAGCTAGCTCGCAGCCTCATAGGTAACGTTAGCTAGATTGAACTAGCCAGCTGACCAGTCCAAAAGCCAATGTATCAGATTTTGGGGTGATGGCTAGCTGTTTGCCCAGAGTTCTACCTTGCAAGTTTACTTGTTGTTGGTCTGATGTCGTCTATCAAAAATGATATCTCTCTGTCAAGACTGTCAATTGGCTAACAATATAATAATATTTCAGTGTTGGTAAATAGTAGCTGGAAACACAGTAGATAGCTACAGTAAGCCTGATAATAACAGTAAAATGGTTTGTTAAAAAAGGAACCAATTTGGTTTCAGCCAGCACAAGAGTCCTCAGCCACCATTGTTTGTTTTGGCAAAGTGAAATTCCACAACCGGACTCGCTCCTCACACCGCAGCAATGATGGCAATATTTTCACACTGAATCAGAAAATAGTAATCTCTAGGTTATTCACCTGTAACTAGCTAATAAATCTGTCAGGACTTCAATAGTTTTCCCTTTTCCTATTAGGTCAGTCATACCCCTCTCTTTAAATCAGTTAAACCATTACTAAGCTCAATGGCAAGCATCATTTGACATTGACTAAACCTATATCAACACAACAACTACCCTGCAAGTAAACTACATTGATCTTGAACTAGGATACATGTAATGTTTCTGTTCTATTTACCCTCTTCCCTTCCCTGTGTACCCTTTCCCCAACCTAGGCTATATTAGATAGCCTACTCGCACTGAATTGACAATGTACACTCATGTTATGTTTGTTCTAGATTATTTTCTGTGTCAGTATATTTTGTCCCTATGTAAATCACTAACCACATCCATAGTGTGAGAATGGAAGAACAGAGGGCGGGGCATTAGCAAAAATCAAAGGGCTGGAAATTGACGAACATGCCCGTTGCGGAATTGCCCCTCCAACTCCTCTTCCTATCCCCACCCACTTCATATATCTAATAATGCTTTTGTGTGTCTGTATAAGTATGTGTTTCTGCGCTCACTGTGCAAATGTGCGTGTAGCTCTAATACTGGTTTTTCCCCTCACTACCCCCCCACCTTCTCTTCTCATCTTCACAAACACTGGTTTGGTTACACATCTCTTCTCAACACCAATCTGTTCTTCACTCTTTCCTATTCTGTTTGGTCATATTTGTCTTCCCTCCACATTCCTCCCATTTCTTCCACTCCTTTTTTGTCTACGTATATTCTACCCCCGTTTTCATCTTCCTCCTGCTGCTCTCATCTATCCTCTATACCTCATCTCCTTTCCTCCCCCCTTCATCTCTCTTTTCCTCACTCTCTTCCCATCTTTCCTCATCCATCCCGGTCTCATGCCTGTTTTCTCTCCTTTCATTCCTCTTCCTATCTCTCTCCCTCTCTCACACAGTGCTCTGTGCCTCGCTCTCTCTGGCTGGGCTGCTCCTCGGTGGCAGAGAGTTTGTGTGCACTCAGGTGCCTGCAGAGCATCCCCTCCACCCGGGCTCACAACCAGGTTCTGCTACTCTCTCCTCTTAATTCTGACCTACCTACCGCCCCAGTCACACCTCCCTCCTCAGACCCTAACCCCACCACACCACGTACTGTGTCCTGCACCCTCCCCTGACCCCCTTGCCTTCTCGTCTCTCCCTCCCAAAAACATGCTCCTCTCTCCAGCCCAGCTTACAGGATATCTGACATATTGGCTCAATTTCATATTAAGCCTCCTAGAAAAGGGTTGATCTCTACAGACAAGCACCGCCTGAAAGATACCTCCCTCTTTCCTGGGTAAAAAATAAATAATGTTTTGGTCAAAGCTGAAGTGACACAAAGACCAAATTGCCATCAAAGACAGCATAATAGGCTAACACATGAATCACAGGAACATGATTGTATCAAGCCTGGCCAAACCTAGCTAGGCCTTGTCAAAGTGAAAGTTAAACTTCAGATAGCTAGACTGTCTCTCCCTGCCCTCGCTACTCTAAGGCTTTGGATTTGTTTTTAAACAAAAAAATAGGCCAAGTTCTGACAAGTTGTCCAGTTCACTTGACAAGAGTTGTCTAGTTAATCTGAATTAGATGAGCAGAGTTGGGGCCACTGGGGTGAAAGGAAGGAGAGGCTACCAGAGCATGTCACCTGGGGAGCAATGCTGGGTTGCCTGGAAGTGTGGTGGACAGGGGATGGTTTAGGACCCCCCCCCACCCTGCCTGTGTTATGGGGAAAGTGAGGGGCGCCCATGGTATGCTCGCTGGCTGTCTCTGGCTGCCTGTGCCTTGCCTTGCTCTGTCTCTCTATTTGTTCGTCTGTCTGCTCTGTATGGCATTGCTGCATGAACACTAGTGTCGGCATCAGCCTTGACCCCCTGACCTTGTCTGTGTACCTGTCTGACCTGTTACTATTGGTCTGTCAGTCTCCACTGAAGAGCGACTGAAATGATCCAGTGCAATATCCGTTTCATTTTTGCAGATGAGATAGTGGAGATGTGCTACTGTTGGCTATCTGAGGAAATCCCTTATGTTTCTCTTCTACACACCTGGACAGGGTTATCAATAATCTGTGACAGGGTCAGATGACGTGTGGGACACAGATATATATATATATATATACATACATACATACATACATACATACATACATACATACATACATACATACATACATACATACATACATACGCAGCCCATGCTTGTTATATATATATCTGTGAATGTTTTAATGGGCGAGAGGGTGCCCGTCTGGTTCAACCTTTAACAGTAGTTCTCCCAGCACTCTCCCTCTGTCTGTGGGTGCATCCCAAATTACACCCTATTCCCTATATAGTGCTGTACTTTTGACCCAAAGTAGTGCATAGTTGGGATTAGGGTGCCATTTGAGATGCAAACTGTCTGTTGGAGGGTTGGGTACCATCAGATTACGGTTTCATTACTGCAGGGTTTGTCTAGCAGCCATACCCACATACTGTTTAATTTCCTGTCCAGACTGCACATCACAGGGAGAGGAGATAGAGATCCGCTTACTTACATTATTAGCTAGCCGTGTGTGTGCCATTCTACTCTGCATTCTGCTACCATTTTGCTCATTTGTGTTCATTTACCTTTTAACAGACACCAAATGAGCTCTAACCATTCATTCCCTGTGTTCTTGTCTCTCCATACAGAACACATCAGTCATGGAGTCACAAAACCACGTAGACGACCTCTCGCCAAAGAAGACCACAGTTCTCACCAAGGTGTGTAGGTGGATTATGAGGGTGTGGCATCTGTGTAATATATCTGAGAGATATTAAATGGTAAAATGTGTCAATCGTCCTTGAAGTAGCACTTAATTGTATGGCAATGGGCAATTTGATTCAGTGGGAAGGGAACCCATAGTGCCGTGTGTGTAACTCTGTCCTCTGTCCCAGCTTAGTAACGGTCCTGTGATGACGGGCTCTCGTAAGCGCCCGTCGGAGGGGAACTACGACAAGGAGAAGGAGCACTGCATCGCCCTGTTTGACCAGTGGTCCGAGGCTGACCAGGTGGAGTTTGTAGAACACCTCATCTCCCGCATGTGTCACTACCAACACGGCCACATCAACTCCTACCTCAAACCCATGCTCCAACGAGACTTCATCACAGCACTGCCAGGTAACACACACTCACCTTTTTTTTTTACAGACACACTTTCGCACCCGCTCATACACACGTTCACAACTTATTTTGGGTGCTTCCACTAGAGTCCAGCACAGGCATGAATTTTAAGGCCGAGCCCTACCCATGCCTGCGACTGCCAAATTTAAGGCCCAGCCCGGCACGGGCCCAAAATTAGAAATCACTTCCTTCCATTAGCTCCTGGTCTCTCTGTTCTCCCCCTCCCTGCGCAGCATGCGCTCTGCTGCTAATCTGCCTGTGTGAGTATCCATAGCAATGGCTCCACCTTGGGCTGCTCAATGACGAGACGAGAGAGTAGTTAGCTGTTAGCTAACTACTTTTCGTCACTTTAAACTCCGGAACATTATTATTTTCTGTGACCTAATCTCGCCTGTCGACTCTGACAATGTTCTGGTCTAATATTTGACGAGGTTGAAGCACTTCTGACACCAGGTTAGTCAGATATGACTGTAGGCTACTGCGCAGCAGATCACGAGCAAATGGCTCAACTTCAAAGTGTTAGTGATAGCCCAACCCGTACCCTAGTAATTGATGAAAAAAAACATCCCTACCCGGCCCCCTAACCTGATGTCTAGTGTCGGGTAGCAGAACTCCAGCTTCCACACACTTGCACTCATTCACACACCATGCTTACACACACTTACACCCAATCTCTCTCTTTCTGTCTCTAGCCCAGGGTCTGGACCACATAGCAGAGAACATCCTGTCATTCCTGGACGCACAGTCTCTGTGCTCTGCAGAGCTGGTGTGTAAGGAGTGGCAGAGGGTGATTTCAGAGGGCATGCTCTGGAAGAAACTCATAGAACGCATGGTGCGCACAGACCCCCTCTGGAAAGGCTTGTCAGAGAGGCACCAGTGGTGAGCATGAACACAAACGCTCGTAGTGATACTGGAGACGGAGATACAAGGAATAGGGAAGTTCTGAAGATTGATTTCTCATTGGCTTATTGTTCTGTCCGTCATCTCAGGGAGAAGTATCTGTTCAAGAACCGAACGACAGAGGTCCCGCCCAACTCCTACTACCACTCCCTGTACCCCAAGATCATCCAGGACATAGAAGTGAGACTTTAGCTCTGTCCACAAAAAACCCTCCACCCTTGTTGGTTTCAGCTTGTGGCTACGTCTCAAATGGCACCCTATTTCCTATTTAGTGGACTACGTTTGACCAGGGCTCTGGTCAAAAGTAGTGACCTATGTAGGGAATAGGGTGCCATTTGGGGGTGCCTTCTGTTGTGTTCTGTATCTATAGACCGTGAGCTTGATTAAAAATGATATTTTTTCCCCATCTGATCGGTTTTTCCTCACTCACATATCTACTCTTTATTTCCTCTCTGTTTTCTTCTCTCCCCCTATTGTCTTCGTGCGTTTCCTCTTCTTGACATGTATCCTCTCTCTCCTTCCCGCTACCTGTCAACCCGCTCTCTGGTCTCTTCACCTCTACCCCCCTCCTCTCTCTGTGTGTGTAGACTATCGAGGCTAACTGGCGGTGTGGCAGACACAACCTGCAGAGGATCCAGTGTCGGTCAGAGAACAGTAAAGGAGTCTACTGCCTCCAGTACGACGACGATAAAATCATCAGCGGCCTTAGAGACAACTCCATAAAGGTGTGTGAGTGTACTTATCTTTTTGGACAGGTCTAGATGGATGAATCATGTTATTACAGACCGTATTGCAGGCTATGCCTTTGATGTGAAACAGCAGCTTGTCTGTATCTCAGAAAATACATGAATTAAAGGATGAAAGGAGTCATTTGCCCACCCTTTGTGTGTTCCACTCATCTGTCTGTCCTGGAGAATGAGGGGGAGGAGGGAGGGGGTGGTGAGGATTTGTCTTATTGTTCTAGAGGGAGACTGTCTGTCTGACTGAGGCACTCAGGAAAGGGCCAGCCTGTCCAACCCAGCTCCAGCGCTGTAGTATGCAGAGATCCCTCCACACTGCAGGGAAATGGGGCATGAACAATACTCTGAGACCAGCTTATTCTTACCCTGACCCAAATCTCCTGCTTGATTTCTCTCCCTCCCTCTCGCTTAATCATCTTTCTACTTTCTCTCTCTCTCCCCCCCCCATCTCTTCCTCTATCTCTGTAGATCTGGGACAAGCAGTCTCTGGAGTGTCTGAAGATCCTTACAGGTCATACAGGCTCAGTGTTGTGTCTGCAGTATGATGAGAGAGTCATAGTCACTGGTTCCTCTGACTCCACTGTCAGGTATGACACAGTCATCATACACACACTTGGGCTTTGTCCAAATGGCAACCCTATTCCCCATGTAGTGCACTATTTTTCACCAAAAGTAGTGCACTACCATACAGTGCATTCGGAAAGTATTCAGACCCCTTGAATTTTCCACATTTTGTTACGTTACAGCCTTATTCTAAAATTGATTGAATTGTTTTTTCCCCCTCATCAATCTACACACAATACCCCATGATGACAAAGCAAAAACTGGTTTTTAGGAATTTTAGCAAATGTATATTACCAAATAAAAGTGGAAATATCACATTTACATAAGTATTCAGACCCTTTACTCAGTACTTTGTTGAAGCACCTTTGGCAGCGATTACAGCCTCGAGTCTGACGCTACAAGCTTGGCACACCTGTACTTAGGGAGTTTCTCCCGTTCTTCTCTGCAGATCCTCTCAAGCTCTGTCTGGTTGGATGGGGAGCGTTGCTGCACAGCTGTTTTCAGGTCTCTCCAGAGATGTTGGATCGTGTTCAAGTCTGGGCTCTGGCTGGGCCACTCAAGGACATTCAGAGACTTGTCCCGAAGCCACTCCTGCGTTGTCTTGGCTGTGTGCTTAGGGTTATTGTCCTGTTGGAAGGTGAACCTTCGCCCCAGTCTGATGTCCTGATTGCTCTGGAGCAGGTTTTCTTCAAGGATCTCTCTGTACTTTGCTCCGTTCATCTTTCCCTCGATCCTGACTAGTCTCCCAGTCCCTGCCGCTGAAAAAAATCCCCACAACATGATGCTGCCACCACCATGCTTCCCCGTAAGGATGGTGCCACGTTTCCTCCCGACTTGATGCTTGGCATTCAGGCCAAAGAGTTCAATCTTGGTTTCATCAAACCAGAGAATCTTGTTTCTCATGGTCTGAGAGTCTTTAGGTGTCTTGTAGCAAACTCCAAGCGGGCTGTCATTTGCCTTTTTACTGAGGTCTGGCCACTCTACCATAAAGGCCTAATTGGTGGAGTGCTGCAGAGATGGTTGTCCTTTTGGAAGGTTCTCCCATCTCCACAGAGGAACTCTGGAGCTCTGTCAGTCACCATCGGGTTCTTGGTCACATTCCTGATCAAGGCCCTTCTCCCCCGATTGCTCAGTTTGGCCGGGCAGCCAGCTCTAGGAAGAGTCTTGGTGGTTCCAAACTTCTTCAGTTTTAAGAATGATGGAGGCCACTGTGGGGACCTTCAATGCTGCAGAATTTTTTGTTATTCTTCCCCAGATCTGTGCCTTGACACAATCCTGTCTCTGAGCTCTATGGACAATTTCTTCAACCTCATGGCTTGGTTTTTGCTCTGACATGCGCTGTCATCTGTGGGACCTTATATAGACAGGTGTGTGCCTTTCCAAATCATGTCCAATCAATTGAATTTACCACAGGTGGACCTGCAAGTTGTAGAAACGTCTCAAGGATGATCAATGGAAACAGGATGCACCTGAGCTCAATTTCTAGTCGCATAGCAAAGGGTCTGAATACTTACGTAAATACGTTTTATTTTTAATACATTTGCAAAAATGTTCAACAACCTGTTTTCGCTTTGTCATTATGGGGTATATTGTGTAGATTGCTGAGGAAATTGTTTTATTTAATACATTTTGGAATAAGGCTGTAACGTAACAAAATGTGGAAAAGTTCAAGTGGTCTGAATACTTTCCGAATAGGGTGCCATTTGGGGGACAACCTTACACTGCCATCTATGCCGTTATATTACCGACTAATGCTTTAACCACCCGGTATGTCAGCGTAAAACCCACAGCCAACTATACGGTAGAAATGCGTCTAGAATCCTTAGAATGGACATTGGCATTCTACAAACGTGACTAAAAAGTTGTCTTGGTCAAGATAGCCAACTGTCTCCACATCTATCTGGTATTTACCCAAGACCCACCACAGCCATCTGAACACTTCTGACTGTCACACTATCCAGCCCTAGCTACACACTGAAGAGATTGCTATTTAAATTAAATTGTGACCATTTCTCACCCTCCGATATAAGGCTATCTGTTATATTTCCTATATTTGACTCTGTGAGAGAGTTGTGATAGTCAATATTGTTAGCTTACATTTTCAATGTCACACGATGTCCAAACCTGAGGCAAGAGTGAGTGTGTGTGTGTGTGTGTGTGTGTGTGTTCGCGCCAACCCATGCCAGTGTCGGCTGCACACAGAAGCTCAACCTTCACACACTCATTACTTCACACTCTCCCTGGGAGGTATCCAAGGAAAATGTGACTTCACTTCCTTAGTGACGGCTTGACGGGCACTTGTTTGTGGCTTTGAGTCTCAGCTTTTCCAGTGTGTGTTCTGAGTGTGTTTGATCCCCTCTCCCTGTCGGACAGTGGAACTCAATAAAAACGCTCTTAACGGCTGGTCCCTAGTGTAGGTTGTGTGTTGACTGGGACTCGGCCCAGTGTCCAGCCTTGGCTGTATCAGTCATCCTTTAATTCAGTTTGCAGAGCTTTCACTAAGTCTCTCTCGTTCTCGCTCTCTCGTTCTCTTTTCACAATATTCCCCTCTCCCTATCATCCCCTCTTTTTCTCCCCCTCCCTTCCCTCTCCTTTTTTATCTACCTCCCCTTGTCCTCTGTCCCTTCCCCTTCCTTCTCTATCGCTCCCCCAGGGTGTGGGACGTAACGTCAGGTGAAGTATTGAACACTCTGATCCATCACAACGAGGCGGTGCTCCACCTGCGCTTCTGTAACGGTCTGATGGTGACGTGTTCTAAGGACCGCTCCATCGCCGTGTGGGACATGGCCTCGCCCACCGACATCAGCCTCCGGCGGGTCCTCGTGGGGCACCGCGCCGCCGTCAACGTGGTCGATTTCGATGACAAATACATCGTGTCGGCGTCGGGGGACCGCACCATCAAGGTGAGAGGTGTGTGTGTGTGTGTGTCATGGAAAATAAAATGTGGGACTTGTGTATTAGTGGGTATGTGGGTGCACATGAGGATACCTTGTCTCTACAGTAGTTGATATTGGAGTTGTTTCCTATAAATATTGATGTCTGAGTGTCTCCCTCTCTCTCTCTGCTGCCCCCTGTAGGTGTGGAGCACCAGTACGTGTGAGTTTGTGCGCACACTAAACGGACACAAGCGAGGCATCGCCTGCCTGCAGTACAGAGACAGACTGGTGGTCAGCGGCTCCTCAGACAACACCATACGGTAAGAGACTGGCCCTGTCCTAAATCTGACCTGCCTGCTACTGTACTAATCATAGTACATACTATTTAGAACATAATGTTTAGAAATAATGCATGCAGTAATCAAGAAATATCTACATACTACACTGACTCGTACTGAGAATGCGTCAGCAAATGCACAATGGCGTTGTTTCCCGCCATTCGTTCATTTTGGTACAGCACGTCCCCTTATCTGATATCAGCTGCTGTCAATCACACATGGGTCTAGATGAAAAGCAGAAACGAGTATGACGTCCTGGCATTTCGAACATACTATGTTAAAAAAAAAATGCTGCATACAGTGAGGGGAAAAAAGTATTTGATCCCCTGCTGACTTTGTACGTTTTCCCACTGACAAAGACATGATCAGTCTATAATTTTAATGGTAGGTTTATTTGAACAGTGAGAGACAGAATAACAACAAAATCCAGAAAAACGCATGTCAAAAATGTTATAAATTGATTTGCATTTTAATGAGGGAAATAAGTATTTGACCCCCTCTCAATCAGAAAGATTTCTGGCTTCCAGGTGTCTTTTATACAGGTAAAGAGCTGAGATTAGGAGCACACTCTTAAAGGGAGTGCTCCTAATCTCAGCTTGTTACCTGTATAAAAGTTATACATTGATTTGCATTTTAATGAGGGAAATAAGTATTTGACCCCTCTGCAAAACATGACATAGTACTTGGTGGCAAAACCCTTGTTGGCAATCAGAGGTCAGACGTTTCTTGTAGTTGGCCACCAGGATTGCACACATCTCGGGAGGGATTTTGTCCCACTCCTCTTTGCAGATCTTCTCCAAGTCATTAAGGTTTCGAGGCTGACGTTTGGCAACTCTAACCTTCAGCTCCCTCCACAGATTTTCTATGGGATTAAGGTCTGGAGACTGGCTAGGCCACTCCAGGACCTTAATGTGCTTCTTCTTGAGCCACTCCTTTGTTGCCTTGGCTGTGTGTTTTGGGTCATTGTCATGCTGGAATACCCATCCGCGACCCATTTTCAATGCCCTGGCTGAGGGAAGGAGGTTCTCACCCAAGATTTGATGGTACATGGCCCCGTCCATCGTCCCTTTGATGCGGTGAAGTTGTCCTGTCCCCTTAGCAGAAAAACACCCCCAAAGCATAATGTTTCCACCTCCATGTTTGACGGTGGGGATGGTGTTCTTGGGGTCATAGGCAGCATTCCTCCTCCTCCAAACACGGTGAGTTGAGTTGATGCCAAATAGCTCCATTTTGGTCTCATCTGACCACAACACTTTCACCCAGTTCTCCTCTGAATCATTCAGATGTTCATTGGCAAACTTCAGACGGGCCTGTATATGTGCTTTCTTGAGCAGGGGGACCTTGCGGGCGCTGCAGGATTTCAGTCCTTCACGGCGTAGTGTGTTACCAATTGTTTTCTTGATGACTATGGTCCCAGCTGCCTTGAAATCATTGACAAGATCCTCCTGTGTAGTTCTGGGCTGATTCCTCACCGTTCTCATGATCATTGCAACTCCACGAGGTGAGATCTTGCATGGAGCCCCAGGCAGAGGGAGATTGACAGTTCTTTTGTGTTTCTTCCATTTGCGAATAATCGCACCAACTGTTGTCACCTTCTCACCAAGCTGCTTGGCAATGGTCTTGTAGCCCATTCCAGCCTTGTGTAGGTCTACAATCTTGTCCCTGACATCCTTGGAGAGCTCTTTGGTCTTGGCCATGGTGGAGAGTTTGGAATCTGATTGATTGCTTCTGTGGACAGGTGTCTTTTATACAGGTAACAAGCTGAGATTAGAAGCACTCCCTTTAAGAGTGTGCTCCTAATCTCAGCTCGTTACCTGTATAAAAGACACCTGGGAGCCAGAAATCTTTCTGATTGAGAGGGGGTCAAATACTTATTTCCCTCATTAAAATGCAAATCAATTTATAACATTTTTGACATGCGTTTTTCTGGATTTTTTTGTTGTTATTCTGTCTCTCACTGTTCAAATAAACCTACCATAAAAAAATTATAGAGTGATAATTTCTTTGTCAGTGGGCAAACGTACAAAATCAGCAGGGGATCAAATACTTTTTTCCCTCACTGTACTATAAAACTTCACATACCCAAAATGCCTACTATTTACAACACAGTACGGGTATTCGCACACGGCCAGTCTGTGATGTCTTGTTTCACTGGGTTTATGGGGCATAGTGGGATGTATGTGTGTCAGATGGATGGATAGATACACAGAGTGTACAAACCTTTAAGAACACCTTCCTAATATCTAGTTGCACCCCCGTTTTAACTGTTGTGCGCGAAAAACCCCAGCAGTGTTGCGGTTCTTGACACAAACCGGTGCGCCTGGCACCTACTGCCATACCTTGTTCAAAGGCACTTAAATCTTTTGTCAAGCCATGTCTCAATTGTCTCAAGGCTTAAAAATCCTTTAACCTGTCTCCTCCCCTTCACCCACACTGATTGAAGTGGATTTAACAAGTGACATCAATAAGGGGTCATAGCTTTCACCTGGATTCACCAGGTCAGTATGTCATGGAAAGAGCAGGTGTTCATATATCCTTCAGAAAGTATTCATACCCCGTTTACTTTTTCCACATTTTGTTGTTACAGCCTGAATTTAAAGTTGATTACATTTAGATATGTTGTCACAGGCCTACACGCAATACCCCATAATGTCTAAGTGGAATTATGTTTTTTGAAATGTTTACAAATTAATTAAAAACTAAAAGCTGAAATGTCTTGAGTCAGTAAGTATTCAACCCCTTTGTTATGGCAAGCCTAAATAAGTGCAGGAGTAAAAATGTGTGTAACCAGTCACATAAGTTGCACTTTGCATTTTTCAACGACTACCTCATCTCTGTACCCCACACATACAATTATCTGTTCGAGCAGTGAATTTCAACCACAAAGACCAGGGAAGTTTTCCAATGCCTTGCAAAGAAGGGCACCGATTGGTAGATGGGTTAAAATAAAAAGCAGACATTGAATATCCCTTTGAGCATGGTGAAGTTATTCATTACACTTTGGATGGTGTATCAATACACCCAGTCACTACAAAGATTCAGGCGTCCTTCCTAACTCAGTTGCTGGAGAGGAAGGAAACCGCTCAGGGATTTCACCATGAGGCCAATGGTAGGGCTGTGACGGTAATTGAATAACTGTGTAACTGATGGTTATGGATGAAGACCGCCATGAAAATAAAATAACCGTCAAAACCGTTTAAATAGGCCTACATCAATTTTGGGATTACATTTTTTTACCAACTTTCTTTTCATGTCGATAAACTTTACATAATAGCGGGAGTGTTTACTAAGGATTATAAGCAATTGTTTTGCTGACTTAGTCTGTCAAACTTTCTAGATCTCCTTCTCTTTCCAACTGTCCTTTGATGCTTGAGCAGCTAATCCCTAGATGTGAGGGGTTGTAGAACGCTATAGGCTATGGGACTTCAGTAAAAAAAAAACAATGTGATATGTGGACTTTGTTTTATACAATGCATGTTTTCATTGCTTGCTAGTAAATAAATAAATCGGTATTTTTAAAAAGTTTGGATGTGTCTGACTACTCATTAATTATTCAACAGCAGTCGACAAGGTTGTTCTGGTTCTGAGGCTTGTAATGCAGTAATGTTGTGTCAAATGGACAATGCACCAATCCTCTCCAACCTGACATGGTATAATTTGATATGGAATCTTTTCTTAATTTATAGACTAATCAACGCCGGTCCTGGCCGATATTCCTCCCTAGGCGAGACAAAATGTTTAATAATTGCTGCCCTCCTATCCCCACAAGTAGAATAGTAGCCTAGCTATACAGCAGTGCACATTTTTAAATGTATTTTTTATTTTACCTTTATTTAACTAGGCAAGTCAGTTAAGAACAAATTCTTATTTACAATGACGTCCTACACCGGCCAAACCCGGACGACGCTGGGCCAATTGTGCGCTGCCCTATGGGACTCCCAATCACGGCCGGTTGTGATACAGCCTGGAATCGAACCAGGGGGTCTGTAGTGACGCCTCAAGCACTGAGATGCAGTGCCTTAGACCGCTGCGCCACTCGGGAGCCCATGTGGTAGCCTACAGTTTGTAAAACATGCAATTTACCGGTAAGCCCTGTCGTTTGGTTACATTCATTTCTGCATGTATTAAATACTCTCTGAGTGGAAACGTTGTTTGCAGAGTTCACAACCTGCTACTCTTGTGAGAAACAAGTTTTGGTTTATTTCATACCATTTACGTGATCCATGTGAGCAATGAGCATGTGTCTGGTTTCTCTTTCCTGTTAATCTTGACAGGGCGCATGCGCCTGAGCACGCATAGAGGTACCTGGCCTGCTTCTCGCAAATGTCAAATGTAGGATAGTGCCCAGCTGGGCTTCTCAGTATTTTATTTATATTTTTGATATAGTAGTTACTCACAGTTTTTGAAAAATCTTTCCAACACTCTACCCCTCGATAATCAGCTGGAAAATAGGCTACGGACATGTTTCCTAATGTAGCCATTCTGGACTCCATCTCTTTAATGACTCACGCCCTTCATGATTTAATCTTGTAAAAGGCTTATTTTCAGTAGCTTAGGCTACATTATTTCTCTCATTACGGCGTCCTCTCTTTGAAAACGATATGCCTCTGCCATCGAATGACCGCTGCAGTAGGGTCTGTGAAATTATGCAACTATTTCGAGAAAAGTTGGAGAAAACCCGTCGGACTTCGTTTGAATGGTTTTGTGCGTCGAAGTAGGATCTGTATGTATTTCTTTTTTATGCGGAAGAGGACAAGGTAGGCATATCTTTATTTTGACTCTTAATGTTGTGTCAATACGAAAATGCGACAGATCCTTTCCAACCTGGCATTTCTTAATTTGTTGATTTTAATATTTATAATACAGGTGGCTGGTGCCACCTTAATTGGGGAGGATGGCTCATAGTAATGGCTGGAACGGAATAAATGAAATGATATCGTACTCATTCCATTCACTCCATTCCAGCCATTATTATGAGCCGTCTTCCCCTCAGCAGCATTCTGTGATTTATAGGTAATAATAATAATGAAATGCCATGATAATAACAAAGTGTAATGGCTTGTTTCAAATAGGTTTTTATTAAAAAAGCATATCCATGTAAACAAATGTATAAACAGAATTGTGACCTCCCCCTGAACTGTTATGTCGGGGACCGTGTATATTGGCCTGGCCAATTACCGTAACCTCAAATTCCAAGACTGTCAGAGCCCTAGCCAATGGTGACTTTAAAACGGTTACAGAGTTTAATGGCTGTGATAGGAAAAAGCTGAGGATGGATCAACAACATTGTAGTTACTCTACAATACTAACCTAAATGACAGAGTGAAAATAAGGAAGCCTGTACAAAATAAAAAATATTCAGAAACAAGCATCCTGTTTGCTATAAGGCACTAAAGTAAAACTGCAAAAAATGTGGCAAAGAAATTAACTTTATGTCCTGAATACAAAGCGTTATGTTTGGGGCAACTCCAACACAACACATCACTGAGTACCACTTCATATTTTCAAGCATGGTGGTGGCTGCCACATGTTATAGGTATGCTTGTCATCGTCAAGGACTGGAGTTTTTATGATACAAATAAACGGAATGGAGCTAAGCACAGGGAAAATCCTAGAGGAAGACCTTGTCTGCTTTCCACCAGACACAGGGTGATGAATTCACCTTTCAGCAGGACAATAACCTAAAACACAAGGCCAAATTTACACTGGAGTTGCTTACCAAGAAGACTGTGAATGTTCCTGAGTGGCTGAGTTACAGTTTTGACTTAAATCTACGATGACCTGAAAATGGTTGTCTAGCAATAATCAAGAACCAATTTGATAGAACTTGAAGACATTTTAAAATAAGAATGGGCAGAGGTTCCACAATCCAGGTGTGGTAAGCTCTTATACATTTACCCAGAAAGACTCACAGCTGCCAAAGGTGCTTATACAAAGTATTGACTCGGATGTGAATACTTATGTAAATGAGATTTCTGTTTTTCATTTTAATATCTTAGCAAAAAAAAAAATATTTCTAAAAACATGTTTTCACTCTTTCATCATGGGGTATTGTGTGTAGATGGGTACGAAAGAAAAAACATCAATTTAGAATTCTGGTTGTAAAACAAAATGTGGAATAAGTCTAGGGGTATGAATATTTTCTGAAGGCACTGTACTAATAGGTGCCGCCCTTTGCGAGGCATTGGAAAACCTCCCTGGTCTTTGTGGTTGAATCTGTGCTTTCACTGCTCGACTGCGGGACCATACAGGTGGTTGTATGTGTGGGGTACAGAGGTAGTCATTCAAAAACTCTTGTTAAACACTATTATAGCACACAGTGACTCCATGCCGCTTATGTGACTTGTTAAGCACATTTTTACTTCTGAACTTTAGGCTTGCCCTAAATAAGGGTTGTGAATACTTTCTGAAGGCATTGTGTGTTTGTGTGAATGTATTTTCTTTCCAGATTATGGGATATTGAGTGTGGAGCGTGTTTGCGAGTGTTGGAAGGTCATGAGGAATTGGTCCGCTGCATTCGCTTTGACAACAAGAGGATTGTCAGTGGTGCATATGACGGGTGAGTAATACTCACTAAGTTTATAGATTATTTTTCCAATACACACACACACTGCTGTTCTCTACTGACCTTGTCTCCTCTCTCTGCAGTAAGATTAAGGTGTGGGACTTGCAAGCTGCCCTGGACCCACGAGCCCCAGCCAGCACCTTGTGTCTGCGCACACTGGTGGTGAGGATCTTTGTGTGTGTTTTAATGTCTGGTCTGTTTTAGGCCGTAGCCTTACGCGGTTGTCATGTTGGTGTGTGTGTTTCAGGAGCACTCGGGGCGCGTGTTCCGGCTGCAGTTTGACGAGTTCCAGATCATCAGCAGCTCCCATGACGACACCATCCTCATCTGGGACTTCCTGAACGTGTCGACCAATGGACAGTCAGAGGGCCGGTCCCCCTCACGCACCTACACCTATATCTCCAGATAGCAGGTAACACAGACACACACGCGCACACACAACTCTGGCTGGGAGTTTCTGACCTGTCTCTGTCCTTCAGGTGGCGACATCCCCTGCAGCGATTCCTGGAGGAGCTGAGATCTGATTGGCTGATGGAGTGTGTGTTGCAGAGAGGAGCTCAACTCGTCCTCTTCTTCCTCATCCTTCTGTCCATACACCCGTTCTGACGAGGGTTTAAGTCTCCCACCACACCCCTGAAACACACACACTGCAACTCAACCCACTGTTGAACACATACACCCCCACTCACGTTCATATTCTATCACTAATTTATGTTCTCCAGTCTACACTAACCCACCACAGTAAAAATGCACATCTTACACCTAACCTTACCAAATCATTTACCTTTTAGAAGTCCTACCTTAAGCTCTAGTTCTTCAGTTCTCACCCACAACCCTACCTAGACACACACATGAGCGTATGGACAGAGAATAACCTTGGAGCTGCAGTGTGGGAGATGCTCTTTATCTCAGCTCTGAGTGAGGAAGGATGAGAGATGGAGTGAGTTAGTTAATGAGTGAGTGAAGGATAAAGAGCCCACTCCATCTATCCTGGTTCCCTCTCTCCTTCTCCCTGGGATGAACACTTGTTCGGAACGCAGAACACACGTGTGTGAACCTGTGAAATGCGGCATAGACTAATAAAAAGACTTGGTGTATTTCTCCGTCACCATGGAAATGGACTTGCATGTTGAGGATGCCGGGATACATCATCCTGGCGATACCTCTGCTCTTTCCTTTTACGCCTGTTTTACTTTCTTAATATTTTTTATTATTTTGTTTTTTATATTTTATTTGACATTTTGTTCTTGGTAAAATTATACTAAGCATTGTTGTTCTCTTTCTCTGTCTGGTATTCTCTCATTGTTTTTCTCATTCTCTCGCTTTTCTCACTAGTTTCCTCTCACCATCTCTTTCTCTATCCATCCATCTTTCTCTGATCATCTGTGTGCTTGCTTTAGTTATGAGAGAAGCTGGAACTCTGAATGCAATTTAGCTGTAAACTGAGTCCTCTTGTCAAAAAATTGTTCTACATTAAAATGATTTTTTTTTAAAGAAAATTATATTGTGAATAAAGTACTTGACAGTGATCGGGTATTGAGCCAACTAAAACGTGAATGACTGTATTTGTCTGTTTGTGTATCCCTTTGTGTCGTTATTGTGTGTGTGTGTGTGTGTGTGGCTGCATCATTAAGTGTGCCCAGATGTGTGTTAGCGTCTGGGTCCTTGAAGCTAAGATCTGTATTTGTTGAAACTGCCATGTCCGTTTAGGATATTACAACGACAAGGAAGTTACTTAAAACAACACTGTTCTTTCCCCTCTGACGTCATCGCACGCCCGCTAAAACAGCAGAGAATGTACTGCGTTTTACTTTTCTATTTTTCTCTCAGCATTGTTGGGAAAGACCCGTAAGTAAGCGTGTCACTGTACGTCTACACATGTTTACGAAGCAAGTGACAAAATGTGATTTTGAGGTTTATTTTTATCACGGTACCAGGCACTCTACCCTGTGTACCCTGTTTTATCAACAAAACAATAACAAACACGCTGGGGCGAACAGTGGTGCTGTTTCACAAAATGTGGATACTAGCTTTAATGACCATTTCAACATCTTTGCAAATGGGTAGTATACTTGGTCATCATTAACGTGTCTGTGCGCGTCTAAGGTTTGCCACCTGGTGGCGCTCAAACCCTAGTGTTTTACTGAGCCTGCTATGGTGAAACGCTAGTCCTCCTACCCAAGTAGTTACACCGCTTATATCCCATTATAACGTGTTCTAATACACTACCCACTCGTATGAATAGGATAACCAACCCTGTAGTTTTCCTTAAAGGTACTAGAGATGGGAGTACAGCTTTGATAGATGTGGACCTAAAGTGGCTGCTGCGTTATTTTTTTTGTACCAGGTTGTACCATAGAGCTTGTTGCATCCCAAATGGCACACTCTTCCCTATGGTCCCTGGTCAAAAGTAGTGCACTGTATAGGGAATAGGGTTCCATTCATGACTGGGATAGCTGAGACTCTTGGGTAGAGTTAGGGAGTAAATGTACTGTAGAAACAGGCTCCATACCAGTAGCCTTTGTCCTTCACCTATGGATGGGTGGGTTGAACTTTTTTATTTTAAGTTGTGTGTGTTGGAGGGGGAAGAGGAGAGTGCTCGTGTTGTGGGATATGGTAGAGTACTGTGTATAGCACTGAGTGTGAATAACTGGTGTCATATGGATGGGCGGCAGGTAGTTTAGTGGTTAAGAGTGTTGTGCCGGTAACCGAAAGGGCGCTGGTTCTAATCCCCGAGCCGACTAGGTGAAAAATCTGCCGACGTGCCCTTGAGCAAGGCACTTAACCCTAATTGCTCCTGTAAGTCGCTCTGGATAAGAGAGTCTGCTAAATGACTCAAATTTATTGTGTGTGGGATGGTGTGGAATTGGTCTGTGTGTGTGTGTGACTGTGCACTTGTTTTCCTACATATCAGGACCCCAATGTCCTGAAAAGTCAACATTTTTGGAAGGTCAGGACTTTTTTCAGGTCCTGATTTTTTATAGATGCTATTTTAAGCTTAAGGGTTAGGTTTTGGGGTTAGGGGTTAGAAAAAATATAGATAATTAACAGTCACATTTTTACACTCAAAAGTTCTGAAATTTCAAAAAAACAAAGCTGTGTGTGAGACCGTTTTGAGTGTGTGGAGTATGGGTGTGTGTGCTTCCTCTGGGTCTGCCGGATTTTGGCCCATAATTCCTGGAGCTCTCAGGTCACCGCTCCATTCTCACTCACATATTTGGCATTCTTTCCCCGACATGATTACCATACACCTTCTACTCTGGGTTTGGCTCCGCAGAATATTTCCATAATTCCGAGTGGAACTGCAGCGACGTTCCATAACCCCCCCCCCCCCCCCCCCTCCCACAGTTCAGATTCCCCCCTCTCATGCTCCTACCTTCCTTGGAATCCTTGGGTACGGACCTTTTTCCCCCCTGAGTCAGCTGTTTGTGTCTGCCGATGTGATTGTGTCATTTGGCAGCGACATCTCTATAAAGACCTCCCGGGGGGATGGGGAAGTAGGTAGTGCGTAAGAGACGTGCTGCATCTCAATAGTCCAAGTTTGGTAGTTCCCTTTCCCTTATTCCTTTCCTTCATCAGATGTGAAAGAACTGGACAGGTGTAAGTAACCCGCCAGTAGGCAGCCACCATATTGCTTAGTTTTACCTATCCTGTTTTTACAGTTCAGTGCAGATGAAGGAAAAGGAGGATTCTTTACAAAAGCAGGGATGGCCAAAACCAACTGGAGACACTCCACTCTAGAATAATTTAGTAAAGCGGGGACCTCCTGGCGAGAGCCAAAAGAGGTAACAAAAGTTAGTGAGGCAGAGAAGCGTGGTGGATGCCCTATGCTCCCAAGGGGGCCAAGAGGATTTAATACAGTAAGTCAAGATTACATTTATTGTGATGCAACCATGTTGAAGTCGCATGGTAGTGCCCTGATAGAATCGTGTGTTGGGATGGTGGTGGAGGGTTGTTGGTGGGGTGAAGGGGGTCAGGTGTCAGCCTATGTCTGTAATTGAGAGCAAGAATGAGAAAAATAATACTACTGCTTTGCAGAAGCCTACTGTTATTTTCCACAATGCTTTCAGATCAGTGGTCAGGCATATAAGTAGGGTAAGAAATGAAGGTTTTGTTAAGCTAATTTGGCCCTACAAGACCCATAACATAATATATTTCCAAAAAAGGAAACATGGCTGCCCAAAAGAAACCTGGCAAGGAACCGTGGACAAGGAGATGAAGGACTGGCCTGTCATGGAAACAATCCCCAAAATGGTAGAAGATCAGCAGCGGTCGCACTCTCTTGTGGAAGCCTTATGTTCCACATAGTTAAGTAAGTAAATATTGTCATGTTATGATGATGATGAAGGGGTTGTTTACCTGTGTATCAGTGGAGGCTGCTGACGGGAGGACGGCTCCTAATAATGGCTGGAACAGAGCGAATGGAATGGCATCAGATGTATTTAATACCGTTCCACTTATACCTCTCCAGCCATTACCACCAGCCCATCCTCCCCAATTAAAGTGCCACCAACCTCCTGTGCTGTGTATAGATGCTTTATGACACAGGAGACAAGTTTCTGTAAGCAGGTTTACTGACTTGAGAAAGACTGCTGCACACAGAGCTGAAATAAATAAAAGAAATAATTTTATAATAATAACAACAATTATAGTAACAATCATAAAAAGATCGCTTATTTAGTTTTTTTTGTCATCTTTATATAACTTTTAATAAATTGTTCCCTTTAATATTTTGTGTATAAGACTTTGGTGTTCCACTGAATGTTCTGGTAGCAGCATTCTGTATTCATGGTATCGCACAGGAGTGTCATCCCCTGGGTCGTTTCTATAGCAACGCATATATGAAGAGAAGGCACCCTTCCCCCACACGCCCGTCATCACCCTCTGATCCTATAAGAAGAGGGTATTCTGTCCTGGCAGTGGGACTTGGGGAGGTGTCATGTCACTGATCTCCAGTTGTCTTTGGTGGTCGTTAGATTTGGTTTGTTTTTGGTTCAGCTTGGTTTGTACATTCCAGTTCTTAAAGCTTCCGTCACTTCAGTGAGTTGCTGGGGGAGGTTACCTAGGGATAATTTAGGCCTCTAGTCCCTCTCCAGATTCCCCCCAAATGGTCTTTGGTGCCCATACACTCACATACTGTACATACATTCACATTCTTTCAATTCATTCATTCACCCCAAGTTTCACAGATTCTCCTCACCTAGGGGGTGAGACAGAGAGAAGTGCGTCAAAGCAGTCCATCCATTTCCTGTGTTCCTCTTGCTGTTTGTCCACCTGTTGCTCCACAGTTTCTCTCATGACACCACTGTCCCATAGACCTCCTGTCTGTCCATCTGTCTGTCTCTCCTCTCTGTCTTTTGGTCCATTAGTGGATATCATCCAGTGAGTCCTGGACAGTGTCAGATAGTTGTACTGGTCCAAGCCTGTGAGTAAGGTTGGGGCTATCACAGTGTAGCTAGCTTAGCTACATTTTAGCCCTTAAAAGGAGTTTAAACCCGCAGTTTCGAGAACACACTGAACTCATTCTTGTTTAACAGAGCAATAGCGTTTACCTTAAAGCATGGCTGCTTGCTAAACCAACAAAGTGACCGGTTTTTGTTTGTCTATTCTAAACTAGAGCTTAACTGGCCAATGCTAAGTGACAGTGCAATAGCACCATTATGTTCAAGCTTGGAGGTTGGAGGGAAACAAGGCCTCCACAAGTTGGAAAGCCTGGTCATCATTTAGCTAGCTTTCACAGGCCTTGTCATAGTTTCTGGGCCTTGCAGGGGAGTGGGCCAGGTCGATGGGCTAGTTGTGATAACAGGGTTATAAGCTAGTGGCCTTCAGTCAATGGACAGAGATAGTGGAGCCTGGGGCAGTGACAGCTAGTAGGGCCAAGTGTCAAGTTAGTGGATGTACTGTGGCACTAGCACAGTTAGTAAACCTACCAATCAGGGTCTAGAGGAGGGTACATGTTATCCCAGTAGTGGGAAGCGTTAGGTGGGGTCAGGAGTGTGGGTGTAGCACTGGCCCATTATCGATTAGCTTCAGGTACAGGTGCAGTGGATGTTAGTCGGGTCCAATGGCGCTAATTAGCCACTTAGCCAATTAGCATGTATTAAAGTCCAGAGGAAGGGTCAATGTTATCCCATTAGCGGTTACTGAATAAGCAGGTACAGGTGGCAATGGGCAGTGGATGGATGGTAGCCGTTAGCATTAGCTGCTAGCGGGTCCCGGTGGCACGGACCCTCTTGCTCCTCTTGTTGACCGTTGTGAAGCGGAAGGGCGTGGTTTCAGGGTACTCCCCGGGTGGGAAGCGTTTCATAAAGTGGACGTCCTGCTGGTTGGGCAGCGTGTGGGGGCCGCGGCGAGGGCGCCCCCGCTTGGTGAAGCCAACGTACCAGCCGGCGTAACGTGCCGACATCAACGCGGTGTAGTGGTTCTCCAGAACCTTCTCCACGAACACGCAGTCTTCACTTTTATTACTGGCCTTCTGAGAGAACAGAGACACAAATACACACACACAGAGAGACAGGAGGAAAGAAGAGACAGATCAGCAATCCATGTGAACTCATTCAATCTGAACAAAAAAAGGAGTGCTCGGGAATGCTCAGGAATGCTTCCAAACAGTACTTTTTTGGTATATTGTTGTGATTCATGCCATAAGCCTATGATGCTGTAATTGTTTGAGAACATGAGAAAACAGAAGAGGTCTCACCTTTCCCACCAGCTTGCCGCGGCGGTTCATGCACAGGTAGAAGTTGGTCTCTTTGCCACGGATTCTCACCTGGCTACCAAAGGTGTCGGCCTCCACTACGAGCTGGGCTTGTGAAGGGACAGACAGAGGGACAGACAGACGTTAGAGCCACAGACAGACAGAGCACCAAAAACAAAGGGACAGAAAATAAGGGAGGAGGAGGGATAAAACTCGACAGAGTGACAGATATAGCCTACATTAAACTGACAGGTCAATTACAGACAGATGTCGAAGCGAGGACAGACAGACATTTGGGTGAGCAGATGGTTGGTTGTCAAAGAAGCCTGTTTAAAGACTTCTTACAGGAGACTGGTCACCACAAATGGGGCTCGTAAAAAAAGATACAGGAAGACATAAGGACAGCCGACACAGAGCGAGGCTACAAAAGAAGAAGAAGAAGAAGACTAGCAAACATTGCGGGAGGGATTGTTGTTTTAAGAGTGTGTGGTGTGAGTGTGTGTTCATCATGGCGTTGTGAAGCTGATTCAGTGTGTATTATAGTGCTGCTTCCCTTCTCTTCTAATAACACTGCCCTGACTCCATGTCTTTAGAGAGTGCTTGTGCCTGTTTTTAAAAGAAATGCCTAAAATGGTTCCTACATGACCTTAGTCAACAAAGGGGTCACAAGAAATCAATACCCTTCTCTCTCCCTCTTCTTCCCTTAACTCTCCCCTCCTCTCTCTCTCCCCCTCTACATGTTTGCACCTTCACCCCTCCCCTATTTTCTCTGTTCTCCCCCCTCTTTCTCTGTTCTTTTATCTCTCACAATGCTTTCCTGCCATTGCCTGATGGTGTTAACCACAGTCTTTTTTCTTTTGAGAACCATTTGTCAAGAACAGATCTGCTCCTGGAGCAGTAGTAACGCTGGTCTTGAAGTGGTATGTTTGTGAAGAGCATGGTTGTGAATGGGAGAGCTGGTAACATGAACCCCATTCATCTACACAGAGGAATATGAACACCAGCGTTAATGCTGGGATTCTTTCCTAAATTGATCCTCTGTGGTTTAAGAATGGGTTAGGCATAATTACAGACAGAGAGAGAAAGGGGAAGGGAGGGAGGAGTGGGGGAGGGATGGATGAGGGAGGGAGGGGAGGGGAGGGGAGGCAGCCTGCTGTTTTAAACCCAGAGAAGACAACTGGGAGGATGAAAAA